ATCCATGAGTTGGGCTTCCTCGCCGAGGCCGTTTTGGACGCTCCAACGCGTCGCCGCGCCCCCCGTCCAGGTCCAGGGGAGGGGGTACTGGGAGGGGTAAACCCCTCCCAGAAGGGGAAGAAGGAGGGGTGGAAGAGGAAACTCTCTAAACCACCTACGCCCAGAGGGCTGGTGGGATTCTAGATGCTTCGCGTAATCCCACCAGCCTTTGGCTCAAGCCAGGCTCCCCCCTCCTCCCTCCTCATCCTCGTGCTCCCCTCCGCAGCAGCAGCACGAGGGCCCCGCGATGGTGCGCCAGTCCCTGACGCGTCGCGGCCAGTCGCCGACTCCAAGCGTCCCCCTCTGGCGCGTCTTACTGCCCTTCACCCCTGTGCTGGCGCTGGCGCTGCTGGGCCTCGGCCTCCGCAGGACCCGCGACCTCGCCATCCTCTGCGGCGGCACGTGGGACCTGCTGCGGAGCCCCGCCGGTGCCCAGCCCGCGGCGCCGCTGGCCCCAGCCCCAGTGCCGCTGGCATGGGCCCCGGCCCCGGCCCCAGCCCTGGCCCTGGCGCCGCCCGCCCCGGCTCCAGCGCCGCGGGCCCAGGCCCCAGCGCCGGCGGCCCCAGCCCCAGCCCCGGCGCTGCCGGCCCCAGCTGCGGCTCCTGAGCCGCCGGCCCCAGCGCCGCCGGCCCCGGCCCCGGCCCCAGCGCTGCTGGCCCCTGCGCCGCCAGCCCCAGCGCCAGCGCCGGCGCCGGCGCAGGCCCTCACGGGAAGCGACTCGCGGGCGGAGGTGCGTCCGAGGCCGCAGGCAGCCGAAGGGCAGCCGGGGCAAGCCGGCCGGAACCTCTCGGTTGCCGTTTGCTTCAACGGGCTGCAGCGGCATCTGTTGTCGTGGCCCGTGAGGTATCATTATGTCAAGCACGTGGAAGAGCCTCTGCAGCGTTACGGCTTCAAGGTGGACCGGTATCTGAGCGTAGTGAAGCCTTTTGCGCCCCTGAGCGTCATATCTGCCACGTACAACGCGACAGCTTTGAGGGAGGTCCCCGAGGAAAAGTTCTATACAAGCTGCAACAGCAAGAAACATATTGTTGATCGCAAGGAGCTTCTTCAGTACGTGAGCGTGCGCGACTGTTACGAGCAGATCGAGGCCGTCGAGTCAGCCGCCAATGCGAGGTACACTTGGATATACCGGATGCGTACAGACATGGTGCACTTAGCTGACATTCCTTTGCATCCTGGTCTATCGCAACAATTCGCTTACGTGTCTCACGGAGGCATGTCATCAGGTCATGGGTGGCAGTGCATGAATGATCACATTTTCCTTTGTCCACGCCGCCTGTGCAGGCCGTATTTTTTTGTAATAGAGCTTTGGGACAATCAGTTCTCTTGTGGGTCAAGTCGGCCGAAGCAAGACCTTTTGCCCGAAGGGTGGGATGGTCCTCCGTCGGAGCCGTTTGTTTTACCGAAGAAGCCTAATTCGATGCAGCAGTGGTATTTTTTTCGCAGATATACGCGTTCGACGCAGGGCCGGCCTTGCAACAGCACCCAGACAGACGCGGAGTGCTGCGGGCTCCTCCGCGAGTTGGAGTGGTGGTATGTCCTGGCACGCAACAAGAGCGGGAAGGTCTTGTCCGTGGACTGCCACTACGGGATCCGGGAACGGCACGGGACCGGATGCCCCGAGAGGTGCCGGGAGGCGTTGAAGCAGTGCACGGACGTGTCGCGGGAGTTCGAGAGGCTCTGCACCGCGGAGCCCGGGCATGCGGACTGCGCGTGGGTCTGGCAGGGCTGGAGCCCTCCTGGCACGACGACGGCGAGCCTCCCCGCGGCCCCGGGTTCCATGAAGCCTTCCAAAACCTTGCCCAGCCCCTAGGGGCCCGAGGCAGCCCGAGAGGGCACCCGCAGGGATCCAAGATGGGCCAGGAAGAGCCCGACATGGGCTAGGCGCCCCTCCCCCCCGCCCGGTTTCACTCTCGAAGCTTTTTGGCCCAGTGGCCGTCGCGGTGCTTCGGACATGGGCCGAAGGGCTGAATAGAGCAAACAGCAGTCTTGGAGTCCAGGCAGGGTCCCAGCTCCCACCTGCGAGGCACGAGAAGTCTTTCTGGAAATGGGGGGAGGAGGGGAGAGGGGGCGCAACTGCGGCATGCAGAATCACTCCACGTGCTGGAAGAACAGATATTGTGCATGCATGGGATGTTGCTTATGCGGTCACTCTGTCTCTCACCCTCCCTCCCCATGCCTGCGCGCTCTCACTCATGCACATATAACGGGGAGGACCGGGTCCGGGGGCCCGGGGCTGGAGCCACGACCACAAATGTGGGGCCCGGCGCGCCGGGAGCCCTGCTGGAGCGCCAGGGGCCGTCCAAGATCGCCCGAAGATGGCTTCGGAACGCTCGAAAATGCGCCCCGATGGCTGCAGATGCTTTTCAAGACGACTCCCATGACGCCAAGAAGGCCCCCGAAGGCCCTGAAGACGCCTCAAGAGGCATCCCTGGAGAGCCCCAATAAGCAAAAATCGTCGATCTCCTATGGGGAAACTGATATTTTTGGCGTGTTCGCCTTTTGGGCTTCCACTGCGTCCAAGACGGCCCAAGGGGCACCCAAGCCGGTCGAGGATGCCCGCAGAAGGGCCCCAACACGGCCCGCGAGGGGGCCAAGAAGGCCCACGAGGCGCCCAAACCGCCCAAGAACGCCCCAAGGCGGCGCCCAAGACGGGGACGAGGAACCGGAAATTCACGCCTTTTCGCCCAAGAGACCCCCAGGAGACCCCAAGGGGCTCCAAGAAGGCGCCCAGAAGCCCCAAGAGGCCCCCCATGAGACCCGACAAAAACACCAAAAGAGGCCCCGAAGACGCCCCAAGAGGCACCCCAATAGGGCCCCCAAAAAACAAACATCGTCGATTTCCGATTGGAAAACTGCTATGTTTGGCGCGTTTGCCTTTTGGGCTTCCACTGCGTCCAAGACGGCCCAAGAGGCACCCAAGCCGGTCGAGGATGCCCGCAAGAGGGCCCCAAGACGGCCCGCGAGGGGGCCAACACGGCCCACGAGGCGCCCAAACCGCCCAAGAACGCCCCGAGTCGGCGCCCAAGACGGGGACGAGGAACCGAAGATTCGAGCGCTTTGGCCCAGGAGGCCCCCAAGAGACCCCAAGGGGCTCCAAGAAACGCCCAAGAAGCCCAAAGAGGCCCCCAAGAGACCAGAAAAAACACCAAAAGAGGCCCCGAAACAGCCCCCAATGGGCCCCCCCAAAACGGCCCGAGAGAGCCCCAGGGCGCGCCAAACTGGGTCGACCAGGGTCCGTCCCCGGCGGCGCCTCAAGCAGGCGTTGCCGCTGGAGTCCTCCCTTGCAGAATGTTCTCGTTCAGCCGTTCGACCTGTTGCAGTCTGGCTAGCACAGGAGGAGGAGGAGGAGGAGGAGGAGGAGGCGGCGGCGGCGGCGGCGGAGGAAGAGGGGGTCAGGATGGGAGGGCCGGAGGAAGCTGGACGCGAGGGGTGGGCCGCTCCTCCAGCGCGTTCTGACGTGGACTCCGAGGCGGATCCAGCCGTGGAGCCGAGGGCCCTCCCCCGAGGGCCAAGAAACGTCCAAAATCCGCTTCCTCCTCCTCCTACTCCCCCACCTCCTTCCTCCTCCTCCCCTTTTTTTTTCTCCCCCCCCCTGCTTCCCACCTCTACGCGGCAATCCGCGCACGAGGGGGATCTTGTCATTGTGCAACCCTCCTTCACGCGGCATTCAGCGTGCGAGAGGCTTTGTTTCACTGCGCAGTCCTCCTCCACGCGACCAAAAAGTTGTACGAGGGGGATCATGTCTCTTTGCACCCCTCCTCCACGCGGTAATCCGTGCACTCCCTCTTCAGCGCTCAGTCACGCGACATCCAACAAGAAACAAAGGTTTCTTCTCATTGCGCAGTTCTCCTCCACGCGACCCAAAAGGTGCACGAGGAGGAATATGTGTCTTTGCGTCCCTCCTCCACGCTGCAATCAGTGCACGAGAGGGATATCGCGTTTCTGCAGCCCTCCTTCACGCGGCACTCGGCGTGCAGAGGCTTTGTTTCACTGCGCAGTCCTCCTCCACGCGACAATTTGCGCACGAGAAGGATTGTGTCTCTCTGCGCCCCTCCTCCACGCGGCAATCCGTGCACGAGAAGGATCTGTCGTTATGCAGCCCTCTTCTCGCGGGAATTCGTGCATGAGAGTGGCTTCGTCATTCAGCAGCCTTCCTCCACGCGGCAATCCTTGACACAAAATGATTTTGTCATTCTGGAACCTCCTTGGGCTCCTCATCGAGCCCTCTTGGGGCGCTCTGTGGGGCCCTTTGGGAGCCCTCTCGGAGGCCTGAGGGCCCTCTTGGAACCATCTTCAAAGCCATCGATCAGGCAGGGGGTGATGCCCCAATCGGGGTCTGAAGCATCATTTCTTGGGCCGCTGTTGGGCAACTCTTGAGGCGGTCTTTTCTGCTCTCGGAGCTGTAGTTCGCTCCTGCTGGATCCCTTTGGGGGCCGACGTGGGCCCATCTTGGAGCCGCCTTCTGGCCTTCAGAAACTGTCAGAATCGACACTGGGAGGAGGCACGCATCATAATGTTTCGATCGCTTCGGAAGGAATTTGATTTCTTGGAAGTTTCCTTGGGGTGCTGGGATGGCACTGCGGGCCACCTGGGGGCGGCATTGAAGGCTTCGGGGGCGTGTTGAAGAAATCTTGAACCAGTTTGGCACACTTTGAACGATCTTTGAGGCCCATCTTTGGGCTCGTGGGGGCCTTCTTGGAACATTCTGGGGCCATCCTCGACGCTCGAACAGCCCGCCGAGCGCCCTCGTCCAGGGGGAGGGCGTAGGGGTAGGGGGTAGGGGAAGGCCCCCGCCCCGAAAGGGATGAGGGGAGGGCCGTTGGGACTCTTCTTTGTCATCCCTCGTCCGGTTGACTTGGCGGGCCACACCTCGACATCATTCTCCGTCGTCTCGGGCGTCTTCCCCATTGCTTATGGCTGGTGTTGGCGATGCCGCGGCTGATGTTGCTCGGGGCCTTCGGTTCCTTGGTTGTCTGAAGCAGACTGCCACTCACATGAGCATCATGCCACCCTGCTGTCCAGCAGCACACTCTGGCATTCAGACGTTGCCCGGGTCTGAGGTTGAACCTGAGCACGCGCGAAGCGCGCGCTATTTCTTCCCCAAGCAAATATCTTACATTTAAGTATATATGTAATATGGGTAGGGGGTCCCAGACCCTCCAAAGTGCACTGATTTATCTTCCCTTCCGTTTCGGGCCCGGCGGGGGGCGCCAAAAAACGTCAAGGTGGCCGAGAGAAGTCAGAGAGCGCCAAGATGACCCAAAAGCGCTCCAAGAGAGCCCAAGACCGCACAAAAGCGTTTCAAAATTAATCCAGCATGGCTTGAATACGTCCAAAGAGGGCTTCACGACGGCCAATATGCTCTCGAAAGGACTCCCACGAGGCACTCAGCAGGCGAAAGATGTTTTTCTATGGTGTTCGAAGGTTTTCGCTGTTTCGTGCTTCCGACGGTCCAAGACAGCCAACGAGGCCCCAGAACTCAGTTCAATACGACCCAATATGCACCCAAAGAGGGCGCCACGACGGCGCAAGAAAGCCCTAAGACGGCCCACGAGCGCCCCAAGACGGCCCACGAGGCACCCAAGATCGCCCAAGCGGGCCCCAAGACGGCGTCCAAGAGGGGAAGCACGAACCGACCATTCGAGCCTCCCGCCCCAAGAGGCTCCCAGGAGGTCCCAAGAGGCCCTCAACAGAGCCCTAGAGGCCCTAGGGCCCACGAGGCACCAAAGTGGCACAAACAGACGCACCACGAGCACCCCAAACGGCCACCAAGAGGCCTCCAAAATTGCCTTCGAGTGGCCCCTGGGAAGCCTCCCACGAATCCCAAACGAACTTGGCAGGGACCTGTAACCCACAACCCAGGCACGGTGATCACCTGTCGACGGGTCGATGAGAGCGGAGGAGGAGGCATGAGGAAGAGGCGGGAGGAAACAGAGAACCTTGACTTCATTATTCACGACCGCCTTCTTGTCTCAATGTGGTCAGCACTCGACCAGTCAGAACCTAAGCGCGTGCGAAGTGCGCGCGGTGGTTCTAATATACATATACACGATCCGTTTTAAACTGTCCCGGAGGCCCCCAAGACGCCCCAAGAGGCCTTCAAGATGCCGCTTAAGAGTGCCCCGAGGGCGAAATTGTTGATTTAAATTATGTTGTTTTCAATGTTTTTTGCATTCTCGCTGTTTCATGTTTCCGGCTAAAGCACTGCTTGAGGCCGCTTGGGGGCCTCTTGGGGCCTTCGGGCCTCCTCGGAACATCCTGGACTGCTTCTTGAAGTCGTCATGGGAACTTCTTGGCATGTCTTCGGGGGCCTCTTAACTTGGGGGCCTCTTGGGGCCTCTTGGGAACTTCCTGGGGGCATCTTTGGCTCTTGGGGGCATCTTGGGGCCGAGAGCTTGAACTTTAAGGGTAGCCGTTTGGGAGATGTTATATAGAATCGGGAGTATAGCTCGCGCGCCGTTGCCTTTGGTTCAAGGCACGCGCGCCCGATTTGCCCGGACACTGTTTGTGTTCGCTATGTGTTGGAAAGATCATCACATCGATTTTATCTTATCTTATCCGTCCATTCCTCTTACTGAACAACCTCAGTACGATACGGGACGCTATTTGCCATCCGCTTCCCATGGAATCGGATGTTATTTGACTTACCATAGTCATTTTCGACTTGGTAGCGGAGCTGTCCGCACTCTCGTGTGGTCAGCTCTTGTTCTTCTTATCCTCACGCTACACGGCACGATCTTCGTGACCAACTACCACCCTGCGCCACCACTCCCAGTACATTTACGAGGATCTATCCAAGAACAAGAAGCAACACGAGAGGTACGACGTCCAGACAACAACACTGGTACCATATACGCTTCATCACTGCGCTACTACCAACCGCTCGGCAACGAGCCAAAAGCGCAGTACTTGAAGCAGATGCGGGGAGACCCGCGAGATAACGCGCCTCGAAAACTTGACAAGGCGCTACCCCAGCGCGGCAACGCGCCTAATAACCAACCATATCTTCACAGCCTTGGGCTGGTTATATTCGCCATAATATGGCTCGCGCTGGGGGCAG